GTATGTTAAACACTGTTTGTGGTTCGTGCTCTGCTATCAAGTCGCTAAATCCATATGTGGCAAAAAATCTGAATAAAAATGTGAGAAATATAATTTTTATATGATAAAAAGTCAAGTGTATTCGCCTTACGTGTTCTCTTTGCATACACAGTTTTCTCATGTTCTCTAAACTTTATTTGAAACTGTTACGTTGCAACACTTGCAACTTTGTGTTTTCTTTAGATTACAGTTGGTTTCAGTTAACACATAATGATTTCTTGTGTAAAATCTTTATTTCTTCAGTGCTCGGGTTTTGTTCTCATAGTTTTAGTTTAGCTTCTCTGTGTTGCATTTCCCAGTCGTTCCCTGAAATTCCACCTGCAGCCTCTTATTTCAGTAAAAGTATTTATGTTTTACATTTTAGGGTCAGATTGTCATTATTTTCTTCAAGTCTGCCCATCCTCAATTTCCTCTCTGTTCATCTGTTTATTTCTACTTCTGGATTTCTTGCCTTGGCAGCACTTGTTTAGTCTTTTTGTCAGTGAAGTATTTTAAACTGACCTCTACCTGGTCCTGTGTTTGAGTCTTCTGGACTGCAACGTAAGATTTTTGCCATTCTTTGTGCTTTTGTTGTATCGATTTCCTTACTGTGGCCATAGATATGATTTATTTGTTAATTTTGGACAGATAAATCTGGGCTCTTGTCTTAAATCTTGAAGGCTGGGTAATGACAGAAATGGGTTGAAAACTTAAAATCTGAAGAAAAGTTTAATCTTGAAGTGCAACTTTATTTGTTTTACACTGATCCTGGTATTTATATTCTTTGTAGCACATTTGCCATTTATAAAGGTCTAAATTTAGAGGTTTTTACAGTAACAGGTTTTAAATATCACCTACAAAGAAGACATTAGCAGAATAGAAACATTTCGCTGATCAGATATTCAGACGGTCTCGTACTGATGCTCTCCTGATAAACAATAAGACTAAATGAGTTTTTCTCTTTGTGCTCGTTTGCAGGTTTTTTTTACTCTTCCTCATCTTATTTGTGTTTTTTAGAAGCAGATTGGCAGTAAATTTTGATTCAGGCCCTGCAGGCAGACTGCCCAAGTCCCACAATCCCTGATCTTTCACACTCCCGTGCACACACACAGTCACGCACACACATTTGCATACCGACAGAGATTGATGATGCCACAGCCTCCATGCACTTAAATGCCGACATCTCCACTGCTGACACTGCAAATTGTTCGGACTGGTTTCTGCAGTAATGAGATACCTGAAGGCTCATTGGCAGGTGGAGCTGTCACTCAAAACCAGATAGTCCCGCCTCGTCTGTGACTCGTACAAAACTGGTGCAATGCTTCAGTCCTGACACACAAGTAATTACATTTAGTCTGATTTTATTCTGGTTCATGATGAGGAACGACAGTATGTGGGGCAGGAGACAGAAACGGAACAAATTACAAACATATAATTTTAAAATTACCTATGTTCATATTCCAGTTATGTTCATAAGCCAGTTTTTTATGTTGTTCCTCACCGATATCTCTGCTCGACTCTGTGAGAGGACACTGAACGGAGGACTTGATGAAGAGATGAGGAGGAGGAAGAAAAGGGTGGGGACATGCGACAGAAACGGCTGAGCCAGTTTCTGTTGTCATGGTTACACAAAAGAGCATTTACCATTTGGACAAGTCGGACACGCTGCTCTATTCACGTCCCCATTCTTCTGTTCCGTCTTTCCAGTTAGTTTTATCTCATATTCTTTATTTTATTTTCATCTTGCGTTAAAAGATTCTTACAAACCAGGCACCGTGTTCAACCTCGTGTTGCTTCTCGGCCACTGAGATCATCTGAGCTGTTTCTTTTGGTCGTCCTGAAAACTAGGCTAAAGCTCAGAGGAGACTTTAACTGTTGTGATTCTAAAACCTTAAAACAATCCTCCTTCTATTAGACAGGCTTCTTCACTTCCTGGATTTAAATTTCTGTATTTAAACACATTTGTTCCTACTGATATTCAACCCTGTGCGAGTTCATTTAGTTTTAATGATTACTTTGTTTGATATTTTATAAATGTATTTTTAGTTTGTTTTTACCTTTTGTCTTTTATATAATTAATGCACCACACTATGGTTACGATGTGTTGTTTTTAAATGTGCTTTATAAATAAATTCACTTTAATAGAAGGACTGAGGTGTTTTGCAGATTTCTTGGAGGTGCACGTACTTAAAGCCATTAAGTAAAATTAGTTTTTGTTGTTTGTTTATTTCAGTTCAGTTTATTCAAGATGTGTGCAGACCTGAGCTGTTTCTTTCAGAACCAAAAGAGTTCATGTCAGAAACGGACAAATGAGAGTTTATTTTATTTTCTAGTCTTTTTAAGGAACATCTTCCTATAACTGTTGTATTTTTGCGAGAAATATTTGCAATGAAGAGGTGTTCTTTTCTTTCTCCACCTTATCTTGGTTGTTTTCAGTGAGTCTCAGTGTACATTCAGTAAAAAATGGACCGTTTGATGAGACATCAGCTCATAAAAGAAGGTTTTATTGTCACCGAACAAACGGTGCCTGTGTGTTTTACACTGGAACCATTGTTCGCTTTTCTAATCAGTCTGTCTGCCCTGTGTCACCCCTTTCCCCCCTTCCTCACCCCTTGTCACAACCTCACCTCACCCAGGCGGCTCTGATGGGCGGCACCACCATGGTGATGGGTCTGGTCCTGCCTGAACAACACTGCTCCCTGGTGGACGCCTACGAGAAGTGTCGGGCCCTGGCTGACGCCAAGGCGTGCTGCGACTACGCTTTGCATGTTGGGGTGACCTGGTGGGGACCCAAGGTAAGCATCTGTCTGGAAGGAGTAAAACATTGTCAGCTTTTCTCTGACAAATATGAGCCACATAAAGTCTGCTGCTGGTGAACAAAGCTTTTGTTTGTTTGTTTTGTCTCAGAACCAGACAGCAGCTCGGTGCTGGAAAACCAATAAAAAAAGCTCTGTTTTCTGTTCCAAAACCTAATTTGCATTAGATGCCTCAAGTCGATTAGCAGACATCAATGACCTCACTAATTGACACTACGCTGATAAAGGCAACAAAGCTTCAGCGAGTGGGCATTTAAGGCATTACCAGTTAACTAGTAAACATTTTAGGCACACTAGTTGACTATTTGACAGTTTTAGGTGACTAGTTAAGACCCGCAGACCAAAACTATGCATGCTAGGCTAATTGGTAACTTTAAATTGTCCCTAGTATGTGTGAGAAAGTGAAAGGTAGTTTGTCTCTGTGATGGACTGGAGACCTGTCCAGGGTGTCCCCCGCCTCTCACACAGATTGCTGGATATGGGCACCAGTGACCCCCCTGACCCGAAAAATAAGGAGTGGGTAAAGATGATGGTTGATTGGTTCGTTCATTGATTCGTTGGTTGGTTCGTTCATTGATTCGTTGGTTGGTTGGTTTGTTCCTTACTCATATAGTTAACATTTTAAGTGCACTATTGTGTCGACTACTGATCATTTCAGAAGTTATCAGTCAACTAGTAAAATTTTTAGACACAGTAGTTGACTAGTTTACACATTTGACAGTCACTACTTGACTAAGTGGCATTATTTGTGTTAGTTAACATAAAAGGGTTTTTGATGTTTACTAGTTAACGTGTATGACAGTTCTCAACTAATTTGGTCCAGTGTTCCACCAGCATGTTACAAAACCAGCCAATTAGTCATTAACCAATTAGTGCCACAAAATGTCAGACTAGTATAACTTGTGCTCCAACTAGTTAGGCAAATTGTCACTAGTTGGCAAAAAAGTGTTACTGGTCTTTGTTAAACTAGTTGGACCAAATGTGCAGGAATGAATAAAAGGCACAAAAATAATAGGAACACGTTTCATTCTGTACCTTTTCACTCAAAAATATATTTTTTCCTGAATAAAGCAGCCAGACCTTTTTTATTTATGGTTGAGATGCACGTTGACCTATATTAAACCTCACAGGAACTGGGTTAATACACATGCTCAGCGGACACGTTACACAGATTCTATGAGTTATTCAGCCTTTGGCCTCCGTGTCTGCACTGCATCATCTGCTGGCTGTGTGCACGTGTCACATGCTATTACAGCTCAAAAAATGTTTAATGTCAGGACGCCAGGTTCCCTATAATCACGCTATTGAAGCAAAGGACATATTTTTAAAAATATATTAAACAATCTGTGACAGAAATACATAAAGCTTTAATGGATTTTTAAATTGTAGCTGAATAATTTATTCTCAACTTACTATTTGAACCTCCATTACTATTAAAATTACTTTTCTTGTTGGTGTCTTAGTTGTTGATTTATTTGTTTTTGGCACGTCTGATAATTCAACTAACAGATTTAGCTCACTGGCTCATAAACGTTGAGTAACAGTTTCCCGGAGGTGGAGCCTTTGAAAAGTGATAAAATGTTGGTTTCAATCCAAATCTTTGCGTAATCTGGATGATTTATTCTGTGTTTGGAAAAGATCAACCATCTCTGACTGCTCATGTTCTTCATACGACATTTAAAAGAACAGAATAAATGAAAACGTAAGACAAAAAGATTTTTAAAATTTACAATAAAAAAAATAAAACTCAGTTAAAAATGAATGCTGATCAATAAATAAAGAACTACCTTTCTACCAAAAGTGTTTTTATTTGTTCATATTTTGCCCCTCCAAACTGTGGAGTGTATATGTCTTCTGTGTATGCTGTGCAGTGTAACATTATTTACCGTTTATTTTATTTCACTTCAGTTTAAACGTATTAAATAGATTTTTCTGTACGACAAACGTCCCTGTAGGGTTGTGATAAACATCAATGTAAATCCAGAGTGATCTCTTTCTGGCTGCTTTCCAAGCTCATTTCATGCCCCATATAACAAACGCACGCAGACATACCCCTGTGCACGCACACACACACACACACAGAGTTTACAGTGACCACATTCGTACAGCCTAATGCACTTTACCTGCTGCCTTTACCAAAATGTAAAAATGAATCAAAGCTCTGACTAATTGTGCAACGCTCCTGAGAAACCTCTGATTTCCCTTTTTGAACAGGTTCGTAATGAGATGGAAGCCCTGTTGAGGGAGCATGGAGTGAACTCCTTCCAGATGTTCATGGCCTACAAAGACCAGATGATGCTTCGGGATTCAGAACTCTATCAGACGCTGCAGACCTGTAAGGACATCGGCGCCATTGCACGTGTCCACGCTGAAAACGGAGAGCTGGTGGCAGAGGTGCTCATCAAACTCATAAATAACTATCCATTCATTAGAAGAAAAACATTAGAACAAGAAAAAACTGCTGCAATGCTTCAATAAACTAAACCTCTGTTCAAAGATTGAAACAGTATGTTGACCTGCTCCATGTACCCATTTTTTTTTAAACCAAAGGAAACTTGTACCAGACTGACTGTGTGTGTTTTAGGGTGCCCGAGAGGCTCTGGAGCTGGGCATCAGTGGACCAGAGGGAATAGAGATCAGCCGACCAGAGGAGGTTGTTTATTTACAGCACTTTAAGTCTTGTAGCTGTTGCTTTGTTAAAAACTAGATTGAACAGAAAATATATTTTGAAAAAATTGTCTAAAAATTTTATTTTATTCCTAATAATACACATTAATTGAACGCAATTTTGTAAAAACTTCATTATGTTAAGTAAACTGGAAGTATTTTAAACATAATGAACATTTTTTTACCAAATGATTTTCAGTTCAATGTAATGATAAATTCTTACAGCAGGACCAAAAGCTTGTTTCAGTTTTGTTGCATGAAAATCTGTGATGACGGTTCAAAAATCTAACGTTTAACTTTTCGTTCCCTCTGTTTTGTCGAACGCAGCTCGAGTCTGAAGCTACTCACAGGGCTATCACAATCGCCAACCGGGTAAAGAAAAATCTGTCTTTGTGCTGTTATTCATTTTTAACTAAAGTACCAAATGGGTTACTGAATATGTTTTGTGATTTCAGGCTCGCTGCCCCATCTACCTAGTGAATACATCCAGTATGTCTGCTGGAGACATGATTGCTGCAGCTAAGATGCAGGGTGGGTGATCTGTCCAGTAAAATAAAAATGTAAAAGAGTAACTATGACCACAAACAAAAATGATAAGTTTTCTCTTTATATCTGTCTAGGTAAGGTGGTCCATGCAGAGACGACAGTGGCTCACGCTGTGCTGAATGGGATGCAGTACTACCACCAGGACTGGGCTCATGCTGCCGCTCACGTCATCGTCCCACCTCTACGCCTGGACCCAAACACCCCCAGCTACCTCATGGGCCTGCTGGGAAAGTATGCACATATACATCAGTGTTCTGCTGTACTGTTTTTATTTAAGTCTACCCATGTTCAAATATAATTCAATTCAGTTTCAGTTCAGTTTATTTAAAAAGTGCCAAGTAACAACAGAAGTCATCTCAGGGCACTGAACAGAAACATTCACGTACATTAAAAAAGCAATTAGTAAAAGTTCTCTGTCTAAGAAAGCCATCAGATTGGGTTTACTCCACTTTGTCATAGTCTCCCATCATGAGCAAGAACAAATGCAACAGTGGAAAGGAAAAACTCCCTTTAACAGGAAGAAGCCTCCAGCAGAACTTGGCTTAGGATGAGCGGCCATCTCTTTGACTGGCTGGGGTTTGAGTCAGAGTCAGAGTCAGAGTTTCTTTATTGTCATTCGCACCTCATGTGGTACATGTGGTGGAGCGAAATTATGTACACAGGGTCCCAGTTACATCCAACAATAAAATGTATAAGAAAAACAGTAATAACATCTAAGATATGAACTAAGAAAAACATCAACTAAATATACACTAAGCACTCATAACATAAAACATTGAACATCAGCACAAACATGAACATGAGTCTGTGAACATGAACAGGAAGAGGACAGGAAGGAGAAACAAACAAACATGGAATAACAGGTCCAGGTTGACTTTCTATAGGAAAAAGAAAAAAACATGTTAAAGGTGGAAATAATTACAAATACAAGCAGGTGGAGTAGAGCAAGTAAAGACAGCAGCAGAGAGGAAATGTGGTCAGTTTGTCCTCCAGCAGTCTAAGCCTATAGCAGCATAACTAAGGGATTGCTCAGGAAACCCAAGTCGACCTTAACCATACGATTTATAAAAAAGCAAAAAATTAAGCCTAATCTGAATAGTAGACAATGTGTCAGCCTCACGGACAGAAACTGGAAGTTTGTTCCACAAGAGAGGAGCCTGATAACTGAAAGTTCTGCCTCCCATTCTACTTTTGTAAACTCTAGGAACCACAAGTAAACCTGCAGTCTGAAAGCAAAGTGCTCTGTTAGGAAAGTATGGAACAATACGATCGAACATAAGATGGAGCCAGGTTGTTGAGAGCTTTGTAGGTTAGAAATAAGATTTTGAATTCTATTCTGGATTTGACAGGGAGCCAATGGAGAGAAGCTAAAACTGGAGAGATATGATCTCTCCCAGTAGCTCCAGTTAAGACTCTGGCAGCAGCATTTTGGATCAACTGAAGACGTTTTAAAGAAGTATTTGGACACCCAGATAATAAACCATTGCAATAGTCCAGTCGACGTGATAAATGCATGAACCATTTTTTCTGCATCATTTTTAGATAAGATGTTTCTAATGTTAGTGATATTACACAGGTGGAAGAAGGCGGTTCTAGTAACGTTTTAATGTGGGGGATAAAAGACATGTCCTGATCAAAAATAACACCAAGATTTTTAACATTAGAGCTGGAGGACAGATTAATGTCATCCAAGGAGGGAGAAAGACTGAAAAATTAATTCCTAAGATGTTTAGATCCAAAAACTAAAACTTCAGACTTGTCTGTTCAACAGGAGAAAATTAAAGCTCACTCAGTTTTTTATGTCTTCAAGACGTGAATGTAATCAATAACTGATTGGAATCATTGGGTGTCATGGACAAATATAACTGAGTATCATCAGCACAACAATGAAAATTTATCCCATGCTGTTTAATAACTTTACCAAATGGAAGCATATATAAAGTAAATGGTATTGGTCCAAGCACTGAACCCTGACTGAAACTCCTCAAAAAAATTATTTCTTTGCAGATGTTCACATTTCTGATTTGCAACTATTTCTCTAGAATTTTTGAGATGAAAGTTAGATTAGGTAAAGGTCTATAATTGGCCAGAATTTCTGAATCAAGATCAGGTTTTTTTTTTAAGCAAAGGTTTAATTATAGCAATCTTAAAGCTCTGTGGTACGCAACTATTCCTTAAAAACAAATTAAGCAGATGCAAAATGTGGATATTAATTAGAGGACATTCCTCTTTCAACAGCATAGTTGGGATGTGATGTAGCAGACATATGGACGGTTTGGATGAAGCTATTATTTTTGACAGTTCAGAGAGCTCAACAGGACAAAAACAATCCAAACGTAAATCAGGTTCTACTGACATTTTTAAAGTTGTCTCATCTGACAGGGAATCAGAGGCGATAGTAGGAAAGATGATGTGAATTTTCTCTAAAATTGAAATAATTTTATTTATAAACAATCTCATGAAGTCATCGCTGCTTTCTAGGGATACATGAGTCAACAGATATGACTTTTCATTAGTCTAGCTATGGTACTAAACATAAACCTGCAGTTATTTTTATTCTCATCTATTAAAGATGAATAATATTCAGTTCTAGTTTTACAGAGAACTTTCTTATATGTTCGCAGACTATCTCCCCAAGTTAAATAAAATTCTTCAACATTAGTGGAGCGCCATTTTCTTTCCAGCTTTCTAGATACCTGTTTTAAAGTACCTAACTCAGAAATGAACCAAGGAGCCAGCAGTATTTAAGCAGGTGTTGTGAGTAAATCACACGTGAATAGTGTCAATATTTGTAGAACTATATGGTTTTGCTTTAAAGCAGATTTGTTTTGTTTGCAGTGACACTCTGAGCGTTGTGGCTTCAGAGCACCGTCCGTTTCTCACCAAGCAGAGAGCTTTGGGCAAAGAAGATTTCACTAAAATCCCTCATGGAGTGGCTGGAGTCCAGGACAGGATGAGTGTCATCTGGGAGAGGGGAGTGGTACGTCCACAAACACAAACTGATTACGGATATGTTTACATTTTATAGCCCGAGTTGCAGAAGTGCCTGTATCCAGATACTACTGCTGAGTCACAAGAAATGAAGGACAGTGTGTTCTTAAAGCAAGCAGCCAAACTGACCTCGCAATTTCAAAATGTCAAAGTTGTCTTTATTCTCTACACTTGCATTTTATGACTGCAGGTTACAGGGAAGATGGATGAGAATCGTTTTGTGGCCGTGACCAGCTCCAACGCCGCAAAGATCTACAATTTATATCCACGTAAAGGGCGTATTATCCCCGGAGCGGACGGTGACGTCGTGGTGTGGGACCCAGATGCAACAAGGTATTTGCTTATATTTAATCCTACAGATCTTAATTACATGGATGAGTGCAACATTCACTCGTGTTGCTTTTTTGGTGTGCAGGACGATCTCTGTGAGCACTCAGGCGCAGGGAGGAGACTTCAACCTGTACGAAGGGATGCGCTGTCACGGCGTTCCCCTGGTCACCATCAGCCGGGGACGTTTGGTGTGTGAGAACGACGTGTTCATGTGCGCCGAAGGATCCGGGAAGTTCTACCCACAGCGCATTTTTCCCGACTACCTTTATAAGAAGATGGTCCAGCGAGAGAAGGTGGGTTCTCTCTCACTGAGGGGGCGGCAGGCGCTGCTGTCCTCTGCTGGGCCAGCTGGCAGTGAACTGTGGAGGATTTAAGATTTACGTCCACTGGCTATATAAACGTATGCTGACTCAGTTTTTTCTGTTGCTGAAGTCTGCAGAACCCTCTGCTCTGCTTCGGTTTATGGACAGTCAGTACTCAGTTTATCTTTTATTTTGTGTTCTCTCTTTTAGAGCTCGTTTCTTTTTGTTTTTCAGTTTTTGTATTAATATCTCATTCAGTGATTTGGAAATGATTAAGTGTCCATCTTATAAACAGGGGAGGATAAATGCTGTCATTTTGAAAGCGTAATATGAATTCTGGCTTGAAATAATGCAGATTTTGCAGGGTTTTGAATATTTAATCTAAGTAGTGTGTTATTATTAATATTCTACTTAACTACAACTTAAGGGCAGCCCTTAAACTTTGACATATGAAAGTGTTCTTGTCTTTTCAGAATGTTATCGGCAGGAATGTTTTTATTGTGTGTACATAAAATAATAATTCTTACAGGCTGGAACTGCAGGGACTTTTTTACTCACACGCTTCAGAGATGAATTACGAAACTGCAAAACTTCTTTAGCAGCAACAAAACTGAACAATATTGTCAAGAATTTACAAAAGTATTATTGTAACATTCATTAAGATCCAACATTTTCAGTCAGGTCATCTGGACAGTTTTTTTTTTTTTTTTGTGCCGAAACGTTTCGCCTTCGATCCAGAAGGCTTCTTCAGTCAAGAAAACACACAACAAAACTGATTCTTCCCCCAACAGCTTACTCCAAAGTGGAACAAACCAGTTCTGTTTGTGATAAGTTCATTAAGATGTTGGATTCTTTTGACCAGCAGAAATGGACTTTTCTCCCTTTGTAATAAGTTTAAGTGCTGTGTGTTGTCATCATTGTATGTTTCCATACAATGACAAAATTAGTTTTCTGCACCTGGATCGAACCTGGAGCTTTCAGGTCCCAGGTCGGCTGCCCTGCCTCTACCCCATCTCGACACCCCACTTTATTCTAGTAGATGTACTTTACTACAAACTTTTTTTTTTATAGTTATTGATTGTAAAACTGTTAGAAACCTCAAACTGTTTTGTGAATGGAGCTGATGAGGGCAACCGTTTTTCGTCATGCATCTTTCTTGTTCTCGTTTCAGAATCAGGCCTACAAAGGGGTAGAAAGGGATCCTTATGCCGGTGACGTGGCCAAAGTTGCCAACGCGATGAAGAAGGAGCTCGGTTTGAGCCCCATAGATGGAGAATCGTCCAACAAATCCAGCAGCCGAGTTCACCAGGGAGTCCGAGACCTGCACGAATCCTCCTTCACACTTTCAGGTGACTCAGAACAAACTCTTAAAGCTCCTTACTTTGGTCATTTTAAGTTGTGACTTTGAGTCTTATTTTGTATATATTTTTCCTTGAAGGGGCTCAAGTCGACGACCACATCCCGAAGAGGTCCTCCGCTCGGATCCTGGCCCCTCCCGGTGGCCGCTCCAGTGGGATTTGGTAATCAGTGGTGCCGGAGCTCCACCTGTCCAAGCCTCTGTGTTTTAGTATATTTCAAAACAACCAGGAAAACTGCACTGATTTTCCACCACAGAAATGAGTTAAAAATAGATTCAAGCATGAGTCGGATCCATTTTGGTTTTAAAAAAAGTGAGTTTTAAATCTACTTTGTGGTTTAATTGATTTTACTTGATCAGTTCTATGAAAGTGAAGGAACATTTACAATTTTTAAACGATTTACCAAATTCAAGCTAATCTTACTAATAACTGCTCATTATGAACCTTAATGCATAACTGGGCAGAAAACCCAAACTACCCTGTGAAAGATCAAAACCAGTACAGTTTTTAATGGTTTGAACTGAAGTGATGTTGACCGAAGTATTTAAAGTTAAGTGGAATCAGTGAAATATCGTTCACACGTATCACACACACACGCGTATAGTGCACCGTAGAGACCATAGCTTTAGTTTTGTGTGAAGATGTGCGTGGATTCTGTTTGTGATGAAACCACCCGCTCCGTTCGGCTCCCGCTGAACTGCTGAGAGGGCTCTTTGTTTCCAGAGGACGACCAGTCGCTGTGTGGTGATGAAATCCAACTGCTTCAACACCGTGTCACCTTTTAAAAAGACTTGACTCCATCTGTCTCTGAACTCTCACTGCCTCTAACTGAACACACATCCTGCGACCGCCCTGCCTCACCTGAAGTGTCGTTGGGTCTGCAGAGTTTTAAATCCTGTGGTCTTTTCTAGGATTGTATAACCGTCCCAGTAAGAGCTAAATCTAGTTCTGTAGACCTGGCAAACGTAATACACTTTAGTTTTTTTTTAAGTTAGAGTTCATTGTAAGGTTAAAAGAGGGGACATTTTCTGTCAGATTTTTCTGCTAACCTAGATTAGAACAATAAGGGTTATTGTAATTTACATGAATGGAGGTTCTCATTCCAGAGGGATTACTTAGAGGCGTCTGAGTAAAAACAATAAACACAAAGAAGTTGTTTCAAAGCCTGCTCTAATCAGACATGAATAATTCTTCTGAAGGCTGTACACCTCCAACGCAGAAAGTTGGTTAAAAATAACGTGCTGAAATATTTTCTGTATTTTTGTGGGTTTTGTTGCTCGTAAGGTCAGTTTCGTTTAAAACACTAAATGAAAAAATAAAACGGCCGCAGTTTCTCCCAGCTGTGACTGTTGGTCTGTTTTAAGTGACAGGTTTATCTTCCATCAGTTGTCTGGAGTCGAACATCGATGCAAGGAACGCGTTCGACTCCTTTCTCGTCAGTGCAGCGTAGCTTCACAACACAAAAATTAATCATATCCTGTTACAGATGCACAACATTGTTGATGCTAATGTATCATGTAGGATTTTTTTTACTTTATAAGACAATAAATTACCTAATTTTGGTAAAAGTGTTTCTTCTGATGAAGTCACGAACACGCACGTAATGGACAAACATTTTGCAGGTGCTGTCACAACTGGGTTCTCTTTGCAAAATGTTTCACATCAAAGAAGCTTCCAGGCTGGAATTAAAATCAATTGTCTAATGTTAACGTAGCTGCTTCTGTGCATCCTTCTGCTGGGAAATGGTCTCTTTATCACTAACTTTTCCACCACTACAGTTCTTGTTCGATAAATAATTCTGGGCAGACATGAGCGTTAACTCTTCAGATAAGACTTAACAAACGAGGCCTCTGATTTTTCAAGGGAACAATGAAACCGAAATAAATAAAACTATGTTTCTGCACGGATTGCCGCTGTAAGAAGAAGAAGCAGGATTGTTGTTAGAGCAGCGTTTCTCAACGGAGCAGGAAGATTGAGCTGCACAGGCTGAAAACAAAACAAACCTCTCACCTCTTGACGTCTCATTCCTGCTGATCAGTATTAAACTTGTTCATGGTCATGATTGTCTTCATGTCCGAGTGCTATATTTATTTGGAAATGTTTGTAGTTGTTGTTGGAGGAATAAATGTGCCTGTGCCACATTGCATGGAGAGCACCATAAAGTCTCCACCGAAACCCACGGAATCATAAAAACTGGTGCTTTTTTTTCTAGGATCACTTATTATGCAGTGAGTGTTATTTTATTATCGGACTGTTCGTTATGTTGAAGGCACTGTGACTGCTCAGTGGTTGTGTGTGTTTGTAGATTACTGTGGTGTTGGACAACTTGTTGAACTCTTAAATGGCTGCTTGTTTCTTACCACAACAATAACAGCAATTTAATAAAGACCCCAAAAAAGTGTGACGATTCTTGATTGTTTTTATTTGGCACCACATAAACATGAAGTTACAGATTTTACAAGATGTTTGAAATTTGAATAAACTGATGATTGCAACGGGAACACAAACTGTATCTGAGATATTCTGTTACAGTAAACAAATATGCCCATAAAATGATAAATTTGTTTCCACTTATAAATAAACATAAAGTTTATAAAAAGTAAATGGATCCATTTCAAACCAACAGTTGAAATCATAAATTTAGCACTTCAGACTTTGACATTTTTTCACATGAGCCTCCGATTTCTTCAGCCGAGTTAACTGTTGAAACTGGACAGTTTAAATATTTTATTAGATAGACTTACATATTATTTTGATGTTGTTTTTAAACTGTTGGAAAATAAATTATCTGTAAGTTAAAGCTTAGAAAGTAGTACCGGTATACTGTATAATTTATTCAAATTAAGTCTCAGAGAGTGGTAAAATCCACGTCTAGTCTTTGGGAAATTATTGCATGTTTTTTGCAAGGAGTCTAACTAGTTTTACTTTTTTTACCATACCACTTTATTTATAAAGCACGTAAAACAGCGACAAGGCCAACCAAAGTGCTGTACAGACAAAACAACAGGTAACACACAAAGCAAAATACAAAATGAAGTAAATCAGAATATAGACATAAAAACGATGCAGATAATGACGACTAACCAGTGTGTTTTTAAGTCTGGATGAACAATATTTACATTTCATCCTGAATGAAACGGTGAGCCATACAACAATGATTACAGTGGAGTATTCTGAGTACATTTGAGTTTCCAACAATATTCAGTCAGGTCATCTGGACGGTTTCATTTTTTGTTGAGACGTTTCGTCCTTAATCCAAAGGACTTCATCAATCCGAGGAGCCACAAACTCAGTCCCACAAGCAGCACACTCACATTGGACCAACCAGTTTGCTGGTGATAAAATAGTTTCTGGGGCCCTCCCTCTCCTCTGACTTCTCTCAGGCAGCCAGATCAAAACATCAAAGTTCATGCTCAATAATCAATCAACCTTTATTTATACAGGTAAATCCCATTGAGCCTCGAGGACTCATTTACAAGAGAGACCTGATTTCAACAAAGAAAGATGACAACAATGGACAACAGCAACAACAATAAGCAGTTATAAAAACTCATACTACAGTTTTTTTTGTTGTTGTTTTGTTTTTAACAAATAGGATGGCTAAAAGGAAAAAGGTAACAAAAACAAAAAAACAGCTAGATTCCAAGACAAATGTATAAAACTAAAAACAGGAACATGTCTGCATTGGTCCCTGCCAGGAGTCCAACAGATTCTTAAAGCCACTTAGAGAGGTCAAATAATAATCCAGGTAAAAATCCAACAGTCCAGTCAGGTCATCTGGAGAACAAAAAAAGAAACTGTCCAGATCACCTGACTGGATTTTTTTTACCTGGATTATTGAGCATGAACTTTCATACATACGAGTTTGTTTGGATATTTGAGCGGCTCTCCCAGCAGCGCAGACTCTTCTCCAACATGGCGGCCACAGGACGCCAGTTTCACCCGAGCTGCTGCAGAAAGCTGACAATGTTGTGCGCATGCGCAGTGTCTGCTTCTTAGGTGGGAGCAGTCGGATAGCAACGGAAAGCTCCTGAACAGAAACAACGGGACGGCGGCGATAAAAGGAGCAGCGTCCGGCCGCGTGAGTAAAATTAACCCAACTTTAGTTCAGAATATCCCTCTCTGGGACACGGGTTGAGGTTTTCGACCATAAACGGGGTTCATGTATCAGATCAATACTCACCGGGTCCCGCAGGAGACGGGCTTTCTTTGGTAGAAGCGTGCGTGTCTATTATCAAAAAGGCCTCCAGAGGGGGGTAAGGTTAGCCCGTAGACAAAGTCTCGTCTTCAGCCGCTCGTGTGTCTGGATGTGTATCTGGAGTTCTCCGACACAGCCGTGCTGAAATTAAACTGCTCTTAAAGGCATTTAAATTCTCCCGCAGCGGTCGAAGGCGCCCGGAGCTCGGTTAGCGGCGTTAGCAGCGCGGTTAGCCGGGAGCTAGCCGCCGACCAACGGCTGAAACGTCATCCGTTAAAGAGCCCCTAAACCACGGCGAAGAAGTTCAGCCCGCACCGTGAAACCGTTCAGCTGCTGCGGGTGGAGGCCGTCATTTCCCAATAATCACGTAATAAAACCAGATTATATCCGCTGACACAAACAGAATAATCTCACTGAGTGTTTGGTTGATTATTATCAAGAAAAAAAGTTGTGAAATATATTTTTACTTTCTTTTTCTTGACAGTAAATATTATATTTGATGTTTAATGTACAGAATGAAATTTGAGGCAGTTTTTTTTTTTTCCACTTGTACAAAAATCCTGAGCAGGATTATTTTTTGAGCTTCTCTAATCCCTCCTAACATCTGTATTTCCCCCTTTTTATGTGATATTATTTAAATCAGGGTGTAAGACCCAATAATGGGGGGGTGTTAAAACTTAAGTCTCAATCAAGATTTATATATATATACACATAAAAAAAACATACATTTACACTGGCTTTGCATGTAATATGTCAAAATATTCATAGAAATACCATTGATCATATCCGTGTGACATTATATAGTATTTAAATCAAACATGCTTTAATAAACAAATAAAAATAGACCTAACTAAAAAAGACAATTTATTAGTGTCCATTCCTTAAGCCTTACTTTCTATTATGAACTTTTAAATTAATTTATTCTCAGTAATATGGTTAACACGGTCCATTAAAACAGCGAAACAGCATATTGGTAAATAAAAATCAAAACATACAGTTACTAACATTTACGAGAAGAAAATACAGAAAGAGACTACGGACTTACAGATACAGATGTTTTTTATTGTCCTTCGCACCACATGTGGTACATGTGGTGGAGTGAAATCATGTACACAGGGTCCCAGTTACATCCAACAATAAAATGTATAAGAAAAACTGTAATGATTTAAAATATGAACTAAGAAAAACATCAACTAAATATACACTAATAGCATAAAAACAATACTCCGAACAGCAGCATGGACATGAGTCTGTGTGAGCAGATGAGCACGCATGAACACAGCAACATGAAACAGATCAGCAGCAACATGGAACAGATCAGCAGCAACATGGAACAGATCAGCAGCAACATGAAACAGATCAGCAGCAACATGAAACAGATCAGCAGCAACATG